ATCCCTAGAGTGGAAACCATGCATACCAAAAATTCTCCCTAAGGCATTGGGTTAATAATAGATTAATACAGGAAGTAACTTACATCGTGTTCATATTCAAGGAAAACTTTGAAGTTGTGATCAGTCCTGAAGATGGGGTGCTGTGCCAGTCTGGTAAGGAACACCTCGTGCATGGCTACCGTCTTCTTGAAGGTTGCTAGATATTCCCTGCATGGAACAGGGAAAGCATCTTACTTAGAATGATTTTGTCAAAGAGCAGAAAGAGAGAGAGAGGGGGGGGGGTGACCAAGATTCTTGAGACGGTATGTGTTAGTATATGCTCTGAAAGTGCTTAAGATATATTATAGTTGGTAACCATTTGGCACATAAAGTAGCATTTTTTTCCCTCTTCCCAGACCAATCTGCATAAATGCAATTTTTTTGGAATAAAATTCCTGCTTGCAAACATAAGCCCTGACTTGTCTTCAGATTGGGTGGTAGGTCAATGAATTCAGCCAGGAAAGCAGCCAGCTCGTAGGACTGTCAGCAACAACACACAATAGCTGTGTTTTATGAAATTATGATGTAAAAGCTGTAACAGACATAAAAACTTGTTTTTAGTGAAAAGAACAAGAAACCACAATGTTCTGATCTGTGAAAAAGAGGTGTATATAATATGAAGCTCATCAAGTGTGTTTTATCTGCATATTCATTTTTTTGTTTTACATGCATACACATATATTTTCCCCTCTTTTGTTATTCTAATGAGATTCATATTTTCATTACTCAAGTAACACGCACAAGTACTATGCTTTTGTGTCAACTTTCATTTTTACCTAAAAGATGAAAAGCTATAGGGCATAATTCTCTGCCACTTTCCTGCTGCCAAAGAGTTAAATAAAGAAATAATATTAAGATATTAACACTTTTGTTTTGTTCATAATACATGGTGACATGTCAATTATGAATAACGATACTAACAATACTGATTGAATCATATGACTGACAATGATATCCTTATCAGAAATCCTAAAAACAATATGACATAATTCCTGAGTTAGAGTTTATCACAAATCAAAATACAAAAACATTTAAATAATAATGAACCCATTGGAGCAAGGTACATGAACTGTAGTCTTTTCTTATTTCATTTTTGTATACACAAAGGTGTAGAATTCCAACAAGTGCTTAGGTCCACTAAATGAGTAGAATGTTTGCTAAACCTATGCGTAGACTTGAATTTCTTAAACACGCGCATTCAACGGCAGGGTGACAATTTTGTAGCCATAAATATAAAAAATGCTAGTGTCGGCTAACAAGAAATCGGCGGGAGAGGCGGGAGCTTCCTGGAGTGCTGTCCCGCCGCATCGGCGTACAGCGCGCACTTGCTGCCCTGGAGTGGGACCAGACTGCAGCGTACAGAGCTGGCAGACGCACGGGAGTGTTTATTTTTTCGGGTGTCCTCGATATGGGACACCCAGCGTGAGTGGGGTTAAGGGAAAGAATAGGTTTTTACATCTTTCACTACTTAATTCACGAATGAATTTCTGGCCATTTATCAAGTACTAATAAGACATTTATCACCGATCACAAAATATTTATTAGTATCCGAAAACTAAGAATAGGGAAAGAGAGAGATCAGGGATAGAAACTATTCGTATTTCCCCCTCCGTTGGTGATAGGACACATTGGGATACAACTATTGGCTAAACAACAAAAATAAGGAGTACAGAAGCTGGCATGTACAAATCCCTACCAAATGTCTATTGGAGAAAAAATTGATAAATCTAATTATCCTATAAAGATCCAGATGACGTTAACGGATCTGTCGAATGGAAACTCTGGGTCGAAGGAGGCATCGGGTACATGAAAAGGACATCATTGGGCGATAGGGATGGGCGTCAGCTGGGTGACGTGAACTTGCGTTCATGAGTGAAGGCCAGTGGGTTGAACAGAAAAGCCAAGAGTACACAAGACCTTTTGATGTGATATTGACTGAATTTGGCACTTTGGCTTTTTGACTATTATGTTCCATCAAATAAACAAATTGGAATATAAAGGTGCCCAAGCCGCATGACTAGAAGATCCTCTGGCTCAGGGAGGATGCCATTCCGATGTTGTGCAGCCATATTCTGGGGCCACTGTGAATCGGCCGGCGCGCAGGTTTTGTTTACATATAATGATGGAAATGTCTAGAAGCAAAAAAAGATTTTGTGTGACAAATTAACCCACGATGTTTATCACCTCTATTTTTGTCATTGCATCGTGAGATTTCTTTTACTGAATGCATACCAGAGATGATCATGGAGGTCTTGCACTGAGAAATACTAACGCTGATTAACCATCTGGATAAGCCAAATAGAAGAAAATATGGGCTATTGGAGCAAATGGCAAAGCTAAAATGAATTTGCACAAAATAACTGAAAAAGGGGAGGCACAAGTGTCTTGTCACCGCGAATGAGTGTTCACCAGGCCCAGCCTAGCCGCAGCATGCCAGGCCATAGTAGGCTACTTGACGTAA